AGAGATCCTAATGTACATCACAAAGTGGTTAATTTAAGTAATTAACTACAATCGTAAGAGTTATAAATCATTGTATATATTGTGAGAAAAACAATTATTATTGTTAACTTTTGTTGTTCGCCCCTAGTGTTCTCGTTTTAGACATCGTCTCTGCTTAGATTTGGGCTCTATCGAGAGATTGATCAATTTAGATTCTTTTAGCTATGTGTCCAATAAATTTTTTTATCTTGTCAATATTATCTCTCTTTTAGACATTTGGCTCGGAGGTCAGTTTAGATCATGCCAACTTTGTTATCCGTTAAACTTTTAAGCTAGGTTCCTGGTTTATCGGATTTTGTAAAAAAAAATTATATAATGTTTTCACATGAAAGAAAACTCAAATGTATATTACGTTACATACTTAGCTTCACATATCGCGTGGGCCGTTTCCCCGCATACCCAATTAAAGCAATAATTTAAAATAGAATAATAAATATTCGAGAAGGCAAGTCACATGCACTTACCATTTTTGTATTCATTATTCCATTACTGACACCTTTCATTCTTATCGAGGTCGGTCTGATCTCAAAACAAACATAGTGTAAAAATTGTCAAAGATTGCAAAAAATATTTTAAATTTTAATAAAAAAAAATTAAAACTCCTATATTTTAAAAATGTGCAATAAAACTCATGTAAAAAATTGAAAAAATCAGTTAAATATAATGCAAATGCACCACTTGCATCATGTTAGAACGGGCCTTGTTCTTATCCACATGCAACTCCTTTCTCATTTTCCTTTCGCGAACGAGAGTTTGGAACGGAACATTTGTGAGAGTATGAAAACGAAAATGGAATTTGAAAATAAAAGTAGATGTCTTATCTTTACTTAATTAAATTTGAAACGAGAATGAAATGGGACTGAACTGAATGAGATGGGGTCGGACAGAAATGAAAATTATGGTGATTAAAAACATGCCGTTTTTTTTTTTAAAATAACTTATGAATATATAAAAAAACATCAATTATGACGTTACATTTGAAAAAGTAAAGTAAAACATACAAAAATATGTAGTAACAACTAAAAATAGTTAGAATAACGATTTTCCTTAAATACATTTCATAAAAAATTTCATTACAAAGTGGTGATTCGGGTTTTTACACTAATCTTACAAGATGAGTGTAGATGTCGAGTAGCCCATTTTTAATAGGTCTAAAGTGTGGTACCTTTTTGACTGGCTAAATAAAAATAAAAATGTCCCAAACAGATCGAACGCAAAAAGCAGGATGGGTACCTAACCATGTCCATCCTAGTTCTAGGGCATCCTATGCCGATCTAGGGCCTCCTGCTTTTTGG